GCTGATTATTTGGTTTCTGCGGGACTAACTACTTTGCCTTCTTCTAATCTTTTGTGTCGGTGGATCCGTATGCGTATATTGCAAGGATGCTGTAGCAAGAGTAAAGATGACAATCCTAAGTGATTCAAGAGTTTTACAATTGCTCGAATTATTACACAAAACCCTTTCAAAACCACAGTACTATTACCGCTTTATTGATGATTGTTTTCTCATATGGACACATGGAAAAGAGAAATATCAGAATTTGTTACCTTAGCAAATTCTTTACAACCAACGATCAAATTTACCTTCGAATGATCACCAAACTTGCGTTTTTGAATGTTAAGATTCATTTAATTAACAACAACTTGGAAACGGAAAATTTCAGCAAAGAAACCGACTCGCAGCAGTATCCTCGCCATCGTCCTGCTACCCTAAACATGTCACGAAAAATATTCCAAAAAGTCTATTAATCAGAATAAGAATAGCCTCAACAAATGAGTTTTTTCATAAACATGCAAAAGTAATGAAAACATACCTAACGAAGAGAAACTACAAAGAAAATTTAGGTGACGATGCAATACAATCTGCAAAAGAACTTAATAGAAAACTTTTTTTAACCCTAAAAACTGAAACCAAAAAAAATAATTTGCTTCCCTTCATCACAAGCTATCATCCGACCCAACCAAATATTCGAAAAATCTTTTCAGATTATCAATACATTTTGGACAACAACGAGAGACTAAAAGAAATTTTTTCAAATCCACCAAGATAAGCTTATCGTGAATGCCCCACGCTAAAAGACAAATTAGTTAGAGCAAAATTGAAACCAGAAACTCCCGTCAAAAAGAATCCACGCTTTTTCAAATGCGGCAAAAAATCATGCTGTACTTGCCAACATTCCGAAGGAACGAAAAAAAAATGGCAACAAACAAAAACAAGACTGCAAAAATAAGTATTCGTCAAAAAATTACATGCAACTCGGAAAATGTAATCTACCTGATAAGCTGCAAAAAGTGTGGCATGCAATACATCGGAGAAACGGAAAGACATTTAAAATACCGAATAACTGAACATATTAGAAGTATAAAATCTGATTTCATTCCATTCATCTCTTTGGGACACATGAGCCACAAGGGATGAATATTAAGGAAGTTTAGACCAATTACAAATTTTTCATTTATTGTTTTAATCAATTCTTATATCTAATATTTTTTTTTCTTAAAAAATTGGATCATGCATGGCCAGACATGCTAATAACAGACAAAATATCACAATATTAAATTTGACACTCAGACAATTTTCCTGGTCTGCTTTATCCAATACTGAGAAACACTAAATACTATTGTTTACCACCCATCAATCAAGTTCACATTTGAACATTCCCAAACCAAATTACCGTTCTTAGACACAATGGTCCACTTAATTGATTATAGACTAGAAACGGAACTCTACTCCAAACCAACAGACACCCACCAATATCTATTACCGTCATCCTGCCACCCATGACATGTACACCGGAATATACCCCATGGATTAGCAATAAGAATTAGAAGAATATGTTCAACTACCGAATTTTTCAACAAACACAGTGACATCCTCAAGCAGCATCTAAAAAAGAGGAATTACCCCGAGCACCTGTTAAACAAAGCCATAGAGCGAGCAAGAAATACGGATAGAACCACGATACTGAAACCAAAAAAGCCGACAAAACGAAAAGAAGACACACCTCTGGTCACGACGTACCACCCACTCCTCCCACCAATCAGAAAAATATTTCAAAAGTACCAATACATCCTACACCGCGACGCCCGACTTCAGAAAATATTCCCCAACCCCCCCATTATAGGCTACAGAAAATGTCCAACACTAAGGGATTTATTAGTACGAGCAAAATTGAAAGTAGAGCACAAAGAAACCGACCAAAAAGGATTTGAAAAATGCAACAGAAAAGGATGCACGACCTGTCAACATTCATCCGAAATCTCAATATTCAGAAGTACATCGACCGGAAAACAGTTTCAAATTTTCAAACGAATCAACTGCAACACAAAAAATGTCATATACCTAATCACCTGCAAAAAATGTCAACAACAGTACATAGGAGAAACCGGAAGAAAATTAAAGTCTCGTACGTCAGACCACCTTAGGGATATTCGAAAAGGGACTCCAACACCAGTTGCCAACCACTTCAACAAGGAAGGGCACAATATAGACGATTTTAATATCCTGGGCATTGACTCACTAACCCACGACGAACTTTACAGGAAAAACAAAGAGCATTTCTGGATTAACAAAATGAAGACTCGGCAACCACATGGAATCAATAGAAAAGATTAAGACTCAAACGGAGAGGGACTTCAACGCAAATACAAAACCAAAAGACAAACAGTACTATCAAAAAAATAGCAACAATACAAACAAACATGGTTCAAAAGCAAACAAAGGAAACCACACAAATAGACGAACTTCAACCCAACCACATCAGTTAGACCGACAGTTCGGAGTTGATATGGATTAAATTACCATAGCATCTAAATCAGTTATAGAAAACTTAATTTTAAAATAAATTAAATTCTTGCGATCTCTATATTTACAGTTATATCTTGTATTGTTTGAAGAAGTTAGACCATGATCTAACGAAAGCTCACAAATATACTTACTATTTCGTTGAAAGAGATCATGTTATTTTTACTTACTATTGTTTAATTTGGATTTTAATTGTTAAACATAAAACAAAGACAGAGATCTCATCAATGAACTTTCATTTCAGTAACTTGCTGTTATTTAATCAAGAATTCGCCGATTTTATTGATTATTTAACATACATAACTCCCATAATTTTACACTGATTGTTTAAATATGCATGTAACTGCTTTCCTTCTGAACTTTTTCAGACGAAACGTTACAGAAATATATTTGTGTTAGTGTGCAGCAAAACTCTTGAATCACTTAGACTCATATGTCATATGCATCAATACATGTATAATATTAATGTACTATATCTAAACCCCAATGACATATGTGCTTTATCAAAGAACTTGTAAAGAATCAAAGAACTCAGATGAATACGAAATGCTTTGACTCAAGAAGTGTTTTCATTTTTTGCATTGATGATAGTGGCAACGACGTTTCATGGTTCAGACACAACCTCACCTTGCGCTGACAAAGTACACTACAGCCCAACGGTGCACAACCTGCGGCCGTCGTGAATAAATAATGCGGCCGTTCACATACAAAATCCTATAAACAAAAAAAAAAATATAGGATTTGGCGGCTATGCTGGCGTATATTGAATTGAGGCAAAACAGAAGCACTGCAAAAAAGTCAGACGACACAATGCGTCACAATCTGGATGGTGTATACTAGAGATGTACCGATACCACTTTCGTCGCCAATACCGATCCAATACCAGCTAAAAACGTTGATGCCGATACGCCGATATTACAAAAAGGCCGATATTCCGATACTATGTAATTGTTACCTCAATTAAGTGTGCTGTGTAGGGCAGACGGGTTGAAACAATGGTCTTTGAGCGTTATTCATTGTACACAATATTTCAGATCGAAAAGAATATATCACCTAAGAAATTGATGTTTGGTATCCAGATGTATTAATTGATTCGGATGCATTGTACACTGACGCTAGTAATCTCGGTGTCCAATTAGAAAACTCATATGCCGGATCCAATTTAATATTAATATTGCGACTTTCGAATATCGTTTTTCGTGTTTAAAAAAATATAGAATACATGCAAATGTTTTATTTTGTGTTTAATCGTGATTGTCGCGGAAATAAAGTACAGCCAAAATGAGAGGATATCAATCAGCGCCGACTAAGAAGTACCTATAATACATATAATACTAGGTGGCCACATCAATAAATCTATAAAGGAATTGTGTTTTTAAACAAAATTAAAATTAATATATTCACAATATTCAATACCTGTGTGGAGAGATAATTGCGTCGGAATTTAGCTTAATGATGTCGATGAACTAAATGACACTCGCGCTTGACGATAAACCGTCAGAATTTGTAACCGTGCCAAAAAGTGCATGTGCCTGTAATAAAAAGACTTCAATTCCACCGATGATTCAAAACTGTGCGTGTAGTTGCTCTCTTTTCTGTGTCGTGTTGATATATTTCTTCATAATTAATATGTAATATGAATTAAAAATGTCAATATAAAAATTTGGCAGCTAAAATAGCCAAATTAGATGAACTAGTTCTGCTAGTAAATATTTGAAAACAGGTGAATCTTATTCCTGTTGCCACCCGCGGGGGTGGAGACATGCATGGCTCATAGTTCACGATCTCTCAAGACAAAAAATAAATTAAAAAATAATATTTTAACTCATCTTTTGAAACAATCTGGATTATATCAAAAAGGTAAATATATCGGGAAATATCGGTATTAATTCAGCCGATACCGATACCAAAAAAATTGCCGATACCGAAATTGTAGTAGTTTTATTTTATTCTGACTCTGATTTGTATGACAAGCCTGATATTGAATCAATAAAATATTTGATATTTAATATACTTTTAGGCACAAGAAAATAAGGGCGAACGCCCCCGCCCCTCCCCGACTTTCGATTTTTTTTTCAAAATTGTGCAACCATTATGCAATATGCTGCAATATATCTGCTCAAGAATAGGTCTCCCAAAAAGAAAAATTCGTTTAAAATGCGAATATTATACTTCCAAGTAGTCCTACATACTTTATAATTGGACAGACTGCACTTCACATGGGTCAAACACGCGGTCATGACGTCATAAAAGCAAAAAATTCGCGCGTCTCCACCGCGCTCATCAACCCCCTTGAGGCCGTATTTAATACAAATAAATGCAATGTGGCCGCCAATAGCAAAAAGATTGTGCACCCGGGCACCCCTGCTATAGCCTTTTTCTTCAGCGCACGTCACATGGTCGGATTTGCGCTGCTCCTGTAACGCTCGAAAATATTGAATTCGAAGTCTTTGTCCAAAATTGAATAGGATGTAATACAAATTGTTATTTGAGGTTTCAAATTTGCGCGTTCTATTACAATGTTGACTCAAATATTTATTTATTCAGATACTATCTATGGTCGTCGACATTACCAAAAATCTATTCTACACAAAAACTGGTGATCAAAGTCATAATTTCGGGGCGTGTTGTAGCCTAATTTCATGAACGTCTTTTATTGAGAAGTAAGTGGCACACGTATGACTGCCACGCAAGTATATTAGATAAAAACAGTATTTAACCACACCGCTATTCACAAGACATGTAGGATTCGAAGAAATCAAGACCTCGGGCGATATTATTATGTTAAAATTTATCACTGCCTATATATATGCGTATTCTGATGCTATATTCGATGTTGTTCTTCTGGTTTACATTCATACTGCAATAGCAAATTTATACTGTGAAAAGAATGCACGGAAGATATGCATTAGGGATATTGTTTCTCTTGCTAAATACTTCTAATTCTCAGAAAGGTATGTGGCTTATATGTATAATAATAACAAATGAATTAGTTTTTATTTACAAATATATCAAATTGATTGTGGCAGTATGAGGATGAGTTCCCCAATAATATTATTCTTACAGGCAGCGTTCATTTACGTCCATCAATACACTTTTTACATATTACGTACAAAACATATAAACACAAATCTAATCAATTCGAATTCCCTACTGAATGAAATGCATATTGTTGGGAATATCAACTCCCATTTTGTTGCAGAATAAAGTTAACTGTATGAATATTTTATTTCACAAAATGTTCGAGTATTTTATGTGCATCATCTTTCGTATGGGTAGAATAAATATGCCTAATTGTTATGTAATTACTATACAAATTTTTACAGCACCTGGAAAAATATCGCCATGCTTGCATAATTTGCCCGGCCAAAAAGGAGTTATATCATACCCTGGATTCAAAACAAATGGAAGAAATCTGAAACTCTTTACAGAGAACCGAAACATGAACGGTGCATGTCTTCTCTATGGGAGAATACCCCACGCGAAAGATTTAACGATTGATATAACTTCAAGGCAAAAGAGTTGGATGTCCGTGAGTAAAAACAGCATATATATTGAATTTTTCATATTGGCGAATTGAAATGAAATGTAAAGGTTTTTTGTGTTGGATTTCAGTATCAGAGCATCCGATGTTACCAAAAAAGAAACTGATTGTTCTGTTCTAAAGTAATCAACGAAAATAACTTTGACTCGGAGAATAAAAAATTTATAAAAAAGTATATTTTGCCTCGAAAATCAACTTAATCTTTTGCAAAATTTCCAGGCTTGTCCATGGGACATATTTTTCTGTCCCATTCCCATCCCATATCAATTATGCCTGTCCCATCCCATCCCATGGGATTTCAATTGGAATAAAAATCAATAATAATTGTTAAATTTAGGTTTAGCGTCTACTAAATAGGACTACATGTACAAATAGACATGCAAAACAACAAAATTTACCGCCTTGTTAACTTTATATTCATAACTATTATACATGTGTCCATCAGCCCCTTCACGAAGTATATGTTTAATGCTGAATATATTTTGCTCTTTATAACTAACAAAAGAGCTATGCTCAAATATATGAACATGAAGTCAATGACGAAATGTTTTACCATCATTTCCCCGGAAATCATAGGGTTTTCGAGTCCCACGGGAAATACAAATGTGGGCTGTCCCATCCCATCCCCTGGGACGTTTCCTGTAGAAATCTCATTCCCATGGACAAGCCCGAAAATTTCGTACGGCCACAACTTTTGGCATCGGTCAGTGAGCAATACATTTATATCGCATTCCGAATTTATCAGAATTCTGAACTACTTTAAATTTGAAATAAACTGATTTTTGACATATTTTTGAGTTGGATTTTTTATAGTTTTTAAATTTTGAATTTCATAGAGAGATATCGAATAGCATAACAGGAATACTGTACTATAAGACATCTTAGTATAAAACCGTTGACAGAAATTTGCAGGAGTGTCGACTTAAGTTTTGTTATACTTATTTTTAAAGATCGAACTTATAACAGCACTATGCATTTAAAAACGCAACCTAACTTAGAGAAGTTTCTATGTATGTTCGTTATTCAGACAAACGGGTCATATTTCATTGTTGAGCTTGGACTTTTTACTCCCTATAGGTTTCACAGAAGTACGAAAAAGAATATAACATGATTACTGACAAATTTAGATTGGTGGTAAGAAATACAGGAAGAGCTCTTGGAACAACTTTGTCGCTATTTACGGGGAAACAGATGATATACGATACACAACTAAATATTCCTATAATGAATATCTGCAAGATCTAAAAAATGGGACAATTCGGATTATTTTACCTGGATATGAATTCACATTTTTCAGAATTGTCTTTCCTGAAAATAAATCAGCATTCACGCTGAAGTATTCTACGAAGAAAAGTAAGGTCTTTGATCGTTATATTCTTTTTATGCATATCTTCCATAATATCAGTGTGATTATGATAAAATCTAAAATGTTTCTAGGCGTTCGATGTAAACGTCTCGATGCTACAGTTGTGGATATTGTGTCATGCACCAATGCGAATAAAATTAACTCCAAATGCAAAGTGAAATGCACTAAAGGATTGGCTCCTTCTCCTTATTTATATCAAAACGATGTAAATTTTCCGAAGTCAGAATCTGTACTCCCTTACATGATGACAAAATGCAAGTAAGTAATATGTGTTAGCCCCGGGTTAGGATTTATCAGTATTTGTGATTAGCGACTCGATAACGTATAGCCTCGTCATTGGGTCGTCGTCAAAGTTTTTGTCGAAAACCAGTGATAAACGTCAATTAGTGTAAGTTGAAACATTGATCTGGTGATATAGCATAGCTAATTCCTAGAGGTGAAATATAGTGTAAAACTACATGTAGTATTCTCGTTGGTGTCTTCTAGCTAGCCCTATACTCAGAAGGAATGAAAGTATCCATCTTTAGTATGGATGGTGCCACTCATTGATACGTGCTTAACTCGAACGATAATGAGCAACTTATAAATCGATGAGGCCATTTCGGGATTAAAGATTTGATTTGGATATTTATCAAGGCAGGGCACTGGTGTGGTATTGATATTTCACGCCTAATCATGTCAATAAAAATACTGAAATGTCAATGTAAAATACTTTCTTTCAGAGGAAATGGCTTTAATCCTCCATCCTGGGATCATGATATCACGATTGCTGATTTTGAATCGTTCTTTGCTGAGGATATGATTAATCCGATCATTCTTCCTGTCGATTCTTTTTTTCCATCAGACGTAACTGCCAATAACATCAAGAATAAGTAGACAATTTTTTGTATTAAAGTACTTGGCTATCATTATTATGAATTCTTTCTAACAAAGGGTGACAAAGTTTACTGTAAACGAGCCGTATTAGCCCGCTGTTGCCATCGGGCATTGAAAGCCGTTAATTTTTTCGATTGACCCCAACCCCCGACTTCGGGGTGAGAAAAATTTTGGATCCAATGTCCCTCTAATTTTTTGTAGTATGTGTGCGCAGAAATTTTGGTGTGTGCGCACTTTTTTGGAAATGACTAATATTTGTGCAAAAACCAATGAAGAAATTTTGGCGTTCTAACCGGGTAATGGGTGGGCCAACAACAACCTTTCTCAACCTGCCAACCGAGAACATTGTTACATCACATCGAAATACGTCTGTGCGCAGTAAATCTATGCGTGTGCGCAGCCTCTGAAAGGTTTGTGCGCGCGCACACGCGCACACTTTAGAGGGAACACTGGCTCCCACTCTATCAACGATAAACAAATCAAGCAAAGCTATGATTCGGGTATTAAAAAGATTTATCATCTTGTCAATATTGTACTAATGGTATCTCCTAAACCTTTCAGTAGGTCCGATATACCCGGGTGGATGGATGTTCTTGAATTCGACACCGAAAACCCAGCGCTTCCTGAATTAAATATTCCAGATCGTCATAAATGTGTTGATCTTAAAATTGTTGCAGACATCTGTTTTCATAATGCCGGGATAGTCGATATGTTTTTGGTAAGAAAAAGCAAAATAAAATTTGTTCGATCATTTTGCCAATTACTTTGTAAGCATTTATTTCTCGCAAACTAGACATAATGCACTTACAAAATAAAGCAGTTACTATAGTGTCAGAATGAAAATTGAATATAAAATTTCTACTGATGCCTTTAGTTGTAGTTTCGGGTAAAGTTTTTGTGTGGACTCATGTGAATAGTGACTTTTTGTTTCTGTTGAATAATACATCATTTTGAATTCTTCATATAATACCATAAGTAAAAACTTCGAACACGGTGTCATTATTTTCATTTCAGGGACATATTTCCGCCTGTAATTATCCTGTCGATTATCTTCTTGAATTGTTTGGAGAAAATCAAGGAGAAGGAATTGATCCAGATACTTTGCCGACTCCAGCTCCAAAAACATTTAACGAAAAACTACAAGAACTTGACCAGAATGAAAAAGCAGCGTTTTTATTCAAACTATCAGAGTTTGATCCAACGTGGGTGAGAAAAATAAATCTGGCACTGAGAATTAATCACGCAATACAGCGAGTTTTCATGCAATATTTTCTTCGAGTACTGACGTCCATAAACCAATACCAGAAAACCAAAAAGTTTGATAAATGATTATTTAAAACTCCTTTAAAAAATTTACAAGCGTCCTATGCGAATATTAAGGTCTATCTACATTACAATAACAGAGTTCCAAATTCATATGAGGATGTAGCAGTGGTGAGTAGTTGGAGTAGCGCACATCGACTGTTAGTTGACTGCTGGTGTAAGTACTAGATATTTCTTTAGTCACTTCAACCCAAGGTTAATAAATAATCCACAATTTAAGACGAATTTCCTGAGCGCCAAGATCAGGATACCATATTTTGAGAAAGTGAGTAACATTAATTAGGTTTTGTCTCTTTCACAATCTTTAGATTGATATAAAATGTTGGAAAAATTTAACGGAAACGTTACTTCAACAACTCAAAAGACAAACAAGAAACGTTAAATCTCGTGAAATAACAAACGCTGTTAATCAGCTTTGGGGAAGCTATTTGCAATACTTGTACGGGGTAAATATAAAAGGAAGTTTCAATAATGTACAAGATCGTATCAATAGAAATACATAATATTTTTATATTGTACTGTAGAATATATACATGTTCTGAATTAAACAGAATGACATTATTAGACGTTCGAAGTGTAACATTCAAGTATACATTATGCCGTCAAGTGTCAACCAAATTTTTATTTTTTTTCGCGATACTATTAGTCAATTCATATCGTAACCAGATGTTAAAATATTTCCCAATCTCCCAAAACGGCAAAATTCGGGATAGATAGAAACAGGGAACCATTGTGACGCCATGCTTCAAGTAAAAACTACAGCCTTCCTGAAAGTAGGAGAAAAACGCACTCTGTCTTAGTTATGAGCATTACGCAATAAAGCTGTTTTTAACAACGAAGAGAAAAAGGTACGATTAAGAAGTAAAGTTAGGCGTAATATTGTGACAACAGGCCTTTAGTATTAATATCTACTCTACTCTACTCTACTCTACCCTCGATTCTAATTGGCCTTTGCTAATCAGCTGTTTGGCCTAGCGTCGCGTGATTTTACTCCAGGCTTCTTCGAGATTAGTACCTGCGTCACAGCAAGCGATTTTACGCTTCGCTTTTGCTGACAACGGTCATTTGAAGTTTGGATGAAAAAGGTGGTATTTAGGGGTCATTTTCAGCATGTTGTGGGTTGATTTATAATAAATTTTTTAGACTTGGGTTTTTTAGACTCAATGGTTATTGGGTGATATTTGGGAAGTCTGGGCAATGGAAAATCCATGTTTCAAGCTGATAAATGACGATTTTCTATTTTTCCAGAAGTTCTGAACTTTTTATTTCAGTTGGAAAAAATAGTAAATTTTACTAATTTTTGCTAAAAGTCTAGAATGAATGTCATAAATTCCGTCCAAAAGCTAACGTCGATAATCGCCTGTTGTTTCTAATTCCAACAAGCCGTAAGTGGGCGACGTGGAGTAAGGAGAATAGATTTTAGGTACAATCAAAAGTCACCATGTAAATCGCAAAAAACGGCTTGGGGTGGAGAAGCCAAGTGCAATTAACAATTTTGGCATGAAAAGGGTTAAAGATGCAATGCGCCACCTCTAATCATGCAATGCGCCACGTTTGGCGCATGCGCCATAGGTTGGCCACCCCTGCCTTATAGCCTTATACAGGAATGGATTGGAGATGGCATTAATTTTTATGAGATGGAATTGGATAGAAAAATGTGTCCCATGGACAAGCTTGATGAGTGGACATGCCAAACTGAAAACAGTTTTAATATTTCACATTGTTCAATTTACTACATGGGTGATGGCCACTTTTGGATTCCATGAATATGTAATTCTCTGAATTTAGGAATGTGATTTAGGAGTACTATTGCAAACAGCTGGCAAATCCAATTGCTTGACAGACTCACGCTTATGTGGATGGAGTAAAGCAAAAAATGACTACCTTTACTCGTGTGCTGATTTTTCGAGTATGTTTGTCATTTAATTTTTTTCAATTCATTTTTTGGTGTGAGTGTAACACAAATAATCACTATTTTTCTATTTCTCTTTTAATGCGACAAAGCTGCGAAACGCAAATTTGAATGTTTGGGCTGCAGAAATCCAAAACCGGGAACGTGTACGCGTACGAAGTCATTGTAAACAAACATTACAATACTATGTAAACAAAATGGACGAAGAAAAAGAACCTAATTACTTACAGAGAGCTGGCATTTTATTTACCACTGGACCTATTTTTTCCATAAATTGACGTTTGTATATAAAAATGATCACTAATAGCCTATAACCCCAAATACAAATTTATGTGTAACCATGGTGTAACAGTATGTAAGATAATGTTTATGACGTCATTATTAATGCTCATTTGTGTTGCTTGATGTCACTGTTGAGCTCCCTCTTTTGCTGTACTGCATGCTGCCTAGTGCTATGAATTATGATGTCAATGTTCTATCTATAATATACTCGAGCATCCCGAACAGTTGTGTGCTTACCCGCAAACAAGCAAGATATTGTCAGGAATCTTTTGCGGCCGGGTAGAGTTGTTCTATCGAGAGAATAGTTTAAATTATATTGCTCACTGTCCAATACACACCATTTGTACGTTCTAATAAGTACCGTCGTTCAATTGCGTGAGAGTAGAGGTCACCATAGGCATACAAAAATATTCCATCTGACCAATATCAACTACTCTTGTGCTCTACATTATCCTTATATATTCGTTAGTTCTTACAACACATTAGTAAAGCTCTTTTTGTTTCGAATGTTCGGGAAAAAAATTATTTTTTGTACTGTTTTGGAAATCTTAAAAAGATTGAGTGTGTTCTATTAACCAGAAGGTAAGTTACTCGCCATCTGTCGAATTATTATCACGGACTGCAGTGATGGCCATTGTTTTCAATTGTAAAAAGAGTGAAACCTAGGATGACAAGAACAAGGCAGTGAAAGACCAACCCTAGGGTCAAACAAAGATTCTAAATTAGGATAAATTTCTCCTAATTTCAAGAACGTCCTCGTTCTAATTTCGGCGCTCCAGAAGTATTTGTACCAATATGGAGGCAACTAATTTTGTTCGCCTATACTTTACATCAAGTTGTATAGAGAGACGGACGCCTATGGGCAGTGATGTGCTGCGAAAATCGTAACAACCGGAACGCTTGTAATTTGTGTATGCAATATATATTTACAACACGACACGGATGCTGTCAGAAATTTTTGTCTGTCCCAAGATAGAGCCAAAGAACTACAATGAAATTTGAATTCATTATCTGAAATATGTCTGTTTAAAATTACAAGAATATTCATACCAATTCAATACAAATGGTATTATTAGAATGTCACAGGATAAATTTTCACGGGGTCGAAGGTCGGCGAACAATCCACTACACGTTACTGCTGTACTAATTATTTGTCTGTCGTAATGTAAAAAGAATTATTACGTAACAAAACGTAAGTTAATAACTAATTTTACAAGAGAAACTAGACTTTCTATGACATAATTTTATTTCAACAACAGGAATGCAAATGCAATAAAATGTTCATCACTGGCAGGGGGTATATTCACTTGGCTAACACAAACATTCCTCGAATTCGTAATAGAACGAAAATAAGAAAAATAGGAATAAAATTATGGCCTAACCTGGTACACATACTACGAGAGTACCCTAATAGCTCCGGCCGTCCGGCGAATAAGCATTATCTTATTGCACATGAAGTGGACCTATGGTTCGCTTTGTTATTATGTTGTTGTGGATAGTATTAGACTCGAAGTGGGCCTGTGGATCGTTTTTGTTATTTTTAATCGCTTTTCTTTTTAATTACTGTACCAAATTGCTCTGAAATTTTCAGTGGTTGAAGATTGTATTTTTGATAGAAGGCTATCACTTTTTTTATAATGTCTGTGAGCTCTATAGAATTCGTTTGTCGAATTCAATGACGCCATCAAAATTGTCAACCACGCTTGAAATCTGATTGGGCGGCTGAATAAATTGTAATTGTTACGTCATTGTTAACTTATTGCTGATTTGTAATTGTTACGGAAATAAACAAGGAAATCGATGCTCAGGGAAACTATACATTGCCTTCTAGTTGCTTCTTGGACATTCCGATTAATATCTGTTACCCTCATGGCAGTGATTCTTAAAGTACCAGACATGGGTCGCGAAAGGTATAAAAATGGGTCGCGCCAAGGTCGGAAATCCAATGGCGATCAAGAGATCTAATCTTTCAGTTTTATCTAGTCCAGGGGTCTCAAACTCAATTTACTTGGGGGCCGCTGATGCAGAGTCTTGATGAGTCCGGGCCGCATCAGGTTTTTCACAATAAAAGCTTAGCAACTTGTTTAAATTTTATTCCTTGTGCACTGCAACTTTAACTGTGCAGATAAAACATGTCGGGATGCTCCTATGCTCAATAAAGAAATGTATTGCGTTTCCCAGTTTTTTGAAATTGTCTGTGCTCATCACCAACCTTTCTGTTTACTGAAACTTCACTTCCAACCACATGTTTAGGAATGTGCGAAATTATAAAATTCCATCTTTTGATAACTGTTGCGCTGATGTTCCAATCAAGCATTTAGCCAATGGACAGTGATGAACGTATCGAGATAAAACTAAGCGTTAGTGATTGTGACGTCAAAAATCATTGAATACTGTTTTAAAATTATTCCAGGCGGTCCCGCGATCGAATATCAGGCCTACAGGTATGGTACTGGTAGGTTACCGCACCGCATATGCATTTCAGGGGATAGATGATAAAATATTTTGTTTTGCCCTACGTGACTATATCTTATATTACAGAGTTTCCTTTTTCGGCCACGGAACACTTTTTATATCACCTCGCGGAACACCAAAAATTAAAGGGTTAAATTGATAAAGAAAAACGATGCAATGTAGGGGTTCCCAATGGTTTCGCCGTGGCGAGTTGAAAATGCGCGACAAACTTCCAGCGTTTCGAAGTAAAACCAGGTAGAGATGGAGGAAGAACGGTTGACCTTTTGCCTTTATTCTTTAGACCAGCGTTTCCCAACCATTTTTGGTCGGGGACTATTTTCTCAACGGTGAAAACCTTTGCGGACTCAAGGTGCGTTTATTACAACCGTAACGAATTTCGAAATCGGAAATTTGCCGCTATTACGCGTTTGTTAAAAGAGCCGAATTTTTTAGTGTATAATGGCCTTTTCTGTCGCACAATATTCAATCCGTGACAATGACGAGAATTTAAAATGACAATGACGAGAATTTAAAGTATCACTTGATTCAGTAGTTATAAACAATATTATTTAAATTCTATTAGTAAATCAAAAATACATAATCATCGCATTGCTTTATTTCTAATTTAATTGGGATCATATTATTCTGCGGTTGTGTTGACGAAATAAAATCAATAATACTCAGAAAATATCATGGCAATCCGTGGACACAAAAATGCGTGGTGAAGTGCCCGATTATATTTTGTTTTGGTTCGTATTTTTGTGAATTCGACAAATCTGATCTGTTCGTACAACGCTTATGAAGCTCCAGTACCACTGTACGTACTAATAGGAAGGCAATAAAGCAAAGAAACGT